AAAAAAAAAAAAAGAGAATGTTTAATATTTATTTTTTAGTATTCGGCAAACACAACATCTTTTTATGTGGTGCTGAGGATCGAACCTGGGCTGCACGCATGCTAGGTGAGCACGCTACCGCTTGAGCCACATCTCCAGCCCCCTCCCCCACATTCTTTTCTAGCATCATTCATTGTTAGGTTCAGCAGAGTGCACCTGTAATCCCAGAAACTCAAGAAGCTTCAACAGAAGAATCCCAAGTTCAAAGCCTGCACTGGCAACAATGCAAAACCCTGTGTTAAAGTAAAATTTTAAAAGGGCTGGGGATGTAGCTTAGTATTAGAGCATCCCTGAGTTCAGTCCCCAGTTCTGGGGGAAAAAAAAAAAAAAAGAATCACAGTGAACTCCACTATCATGTAAAATTTTTAAAGTTTTAAAAAATAAGAATATAATCACATGTCATAACACATCAAATTAACAAATATTTAATATAATCAAATACATAATCTACATTGAAATGTTATTCTTTTTTTTTATTTTGGTGTTGAGATGGGGTGTCACCATGTTGCACAGGCAGGGCTCAAATGACCCCCTCAGCCTAAGTAGCCAAGACTACATGTGCACACCATCACAAGCAGATATTTAAACATTCCTGTTTATCCAAAAAATGTCTTTTTATAGTTTTTGTTAAAAAATCTAAACCAATCATAGTAATTCTATTTGCTTTTGACCTTTGATTGTTAGGTCTCATAGACTCCTGTTATTCTGAATAGTCTTCCTTACCCCACCCCTTTATTTGCATGTCATGAGTTTGTCAGAGAAATGGGTCATTTGTCCTGTTGAATGTCCCTCATATGTTGAAGTCCCTAACATATTTAGGATTATGTTGGTCTCTAATTTATTCCTTTACCTTCTGTATTGCCTGTAAACTTGTGATTAAAGCTAGAGTTTTTATTAGATCATGTTCATGATTTTAGGACGAACCTTCACAGGTATTTGATTATATCATATCATGTAATAATGCTGCTTATTGGGCTGGGAATGTAGCTCAGTGGTAGAGTGCTTGCCCAGCATGCACAAGGCCCTGGGTGCAATCCCTAGTACTGCGAGAAATAAAAAAACAAATAAATAATGCTGTCTATGGAGTGCTTATTATGTGGCAGGCATGGCAATACTTAACATGTACTGGGGGGGGTAGTTTTTATTTTATACCATAAAGTTAATTCTGTAATCCAGCTAGACTTCAAGAGAGATAAAGGATATATGGAATCCAATTTTGTCTCCTTAGAGACAAAATAATAGCTGGGGATAAGATGAAACACAAAATTAAATTTATGAGAATGGCCTAGAGTCTTCTCCTGGTCTTGTCATTCTTGGATCCAAGGCATCCCACAACTTCCACAAGATTCATGCCATCTTTCACCTTGCTAAAGAGCACATCAGTCCTAGCTCTGCCGGAGACAACTTGGGAACTATTTGGTTGAGCCAAATAGTGGACAAGAAGTCAGGACCCATATTCTTCAGAATGAAGTTTCCATCAGCCAACTTCTCCCTCTGTATTTACTGCCAGTGCTATAGTGATGTGTAACTTCATCAGCCTGACACACAAACCCAGGAATAAGTCTGAGAAAGCAGGAACCTTATAACCAGATCTCATTTTTCCAGTGGTCAGAGAACTGAAGTTTTCATGTACATTCTCTGTTGATAGATGACATTAAACCTTTTCTATAAACTTAGTGGGTGAAAAGATGTCACAGCACTAATTTATTTAAAATTACATATTAGTAAGGGAAGTGAGTAGGACTCCTGAGAAGTAGGAGATCACCTTGAAGTAGGTGATCCCAGATGGCCTCCTTCTTCCCAGGACCAGCATGGGCCAGCCCTGGAAGGGAGAAGACACAGGAGGAGGGCAAAAAACAAGGAGAGGCAAAGAGGGAGGTGGAGCTGATGACTGCTCCTTGTTCTCTTGCTATCAGAACTTCACAAGCCTGACAGCCATTCCAGCTTGAAAGAGAGCACTGGTTTGGAAGTTCATGCTCTGATCTTATCATCTGACAAATCGGAACTCTAACAATAACCACCTCAGAAGGCTGCTGTTGAGATACTTTAGGACCTATTGGCCTCTTTGCAGACTCTTATTTGGAGTTACAAGTTTGGTGAGTATGTGGCATGCTCAGGCTGCCTTAACGAATTACCATAGACGGGTGGCTTAAGCAACAAGTGTTGATTTCTCACAGTTCTGGAGGCTAGAAGTCAAGGCCAAGGAGCCCCAGATTCAGTGTCCAGTGAGGATTCACAGATGGCTATTCTGTCATTGTGTCCTCACATGATGGAGGACAGAGAGGATCCCTCTCTTGCCTTTTCTTATCAAGGTGCTAATCCCATTCAGAGGTCTCCACCCACATGACCTAACCACATCCCAAGTCCTCCCCTCCTCACAATAGGAGTTAGGATTTCAACATATGAATGCTCCTAACAATGGCCAACTCCTCAGCATGGCCACTGATGAGGGTTTTTGTTGTTGTTGTTGTTGTTTTGTACCAGGGATTGAACTCCTGGGCACTCAACCACTGAGCCACATCCCCAGTCCTATTTTGTGTTTTATTTAGAGACAAGGTCTTACTGAGTTGCTTAGCACCTCAGTTTTGCTGAGGCTGGCTTTGAACTTGAGATCCTCCTGCCTCAGCCTTCATAACTAACAAGGATTATAGGCATGCACTATCACGCCTGGCTGATGGGTAAGTTCTTGGCCCATATCTTCAGCAAGCTGTTTGAAGACAATGTTCCCAAGCAGAAAACTTCAGTTCTCTAACTACTAGAAAAATGAAATCTGGTTATAAGGATTTCTGCTTTCCCAGATTTATTCCTGGGTTTGTGTGTCAGGCTGATGAATTTATATATTATAATAGCACTGGCAGCAAATTTAGAGGGAGAAATTGGCTGATGTTAGGTAAGTGTTAGGTAAGTGCACATGTTAGGTAAGTGTTCTACCACTGAGCCACATCCCTAGCTTGTATATATAATTTTGGACCAGACACAGTGGCTCAAAAATTTAAAAATACATAAAATAAAAATACATATAATTTGAAATTTATATATATGTTTGTGTGTGTGTGTGTGTGTGTGTGTGTGTGTGTGTGTGTG